AATACAGAAGTGCTACAATCCCCATCTTCTCTTTGCTCATAACCAAAGCATTCATTGGATTATGATTTGTACTTAATGGTTGTTTAGAAGACAATCATAGTTTAATTAGTGAGGAATCTTGGGATCTTGGCTTCCTGAAGATTTTTGAGATAGGGAGCTCAAAAAATAGCTTACAAGTGGCATTTTAGTTTCTTTACCAATTCAATATTTCTAGATCAAATCTAAATAAAAATAATCATGCTTTCTGTGGCAGAACAAGTTCAATTTGGCCCTTGTGTCTTCCTTTTAGCTGGAATTAGGCAAAGAATTTTTACACTCTTACAAGAAAGAGGTATTGGTAACTCCATAAAGTAACCTGATGAGATCAAACTGAAGCCTCCTGAGCTTTCAGTTTTTGTTTTTTAAATTTATTTTATTCTAAAGATGTGGGCTCCTGAACTTCTTTAGCGAATTCCAGAAAATAACTTCTCATCCTTCCAGGTCTCTTTTTGCAAAACAAATCAACATTTGCCTATGTAACCAATCACTTTTAGTGCCAGAGTTTCTATTTTCAGATATCTAGTCTATATATATCTACCATTCTAGCAGTTACCAACAGTAACTGTTCTCCATTAATTGTGGGAAAATAACTAAAGGAATAGATTATTTTATTTATTTTTTTACATATGGAGATGAGGTTTCACTATATTGTCCAGCCTGGTCTTGAACTTCTGGTCTCAAGCAATCTTCTCTCCTGGGCCTCCCCAAGTGCTGAGATTACAGGCATGAGCCACTGTGCCCAGCCTAAAGATTTTAAATGAGATACAGAAATCTAAATTAGTAGCAAGAGTTATTATTTCTCAGGGCACAGTGGCATGTGCCTACAGTCCCAGCTCACTGGGAGGCTGAAGCAAGAAGAGTCCTTAAGCCCAGGAGTTCAAGACCAGCCTGAGCAATACAGTGAGACCTTGTCTCTCTTTTTTTTTGAGTTGGAGTCTCACTCTGTCGCCCAGACTGAAGGGCAGTGGCCGCTCCCGGCCACCGCAGCCTAGACCTGCCGGGCTCCGGCGATCCTTCCGCCTCAGCCTTCCGAATAGCCGGAATTACAGGCATGCGCTACCACGCCCGGCTGATTTTTTGATTTATTGTAGAGCTAAGGTCTCGCTGCCCAGGCGGGTCTCGAACCCGCGGGCTCAGGCAATCCACTCACCTCAGCCTCCCAAAGGTGCAGGATTACAGGCTGAGCCACCGAGCCCGGCTGAGACCTTGTCTCTTAAAAAAAATTTTTTTTGATGTTTTATGATAGTCTTAAAAAAATTATTATTTCTCAGAATAATAGACTTTCTTAGTTTGAGCTGTTATGTTAGCATCATCAAACACTATGAGCTGTGGTTATGGACTCAATTTCTGAATAAAGGGCAGGGAAAATTTTTCTAAAAATAACAAACTCCTTCAGATCACAAGCTACAAGTATTTAAAACTGTTTTTAATTTAGTCAATTATATGCTGAGTAGCTACTATGAAGAGATGATTATCCAAGATAGAAAAATAAATTCACAGAGCCAGCAATGAAGTTTACAGACTGGAACAAACTACACTGGTTCCGTAACCGACCACTAATTACCATATATAAAGATTGGCTTTTTCCAATATCTGACTCTTATTAGAAACCCCAATATTTACTACGGAAAACACCATTTCCTCCTCACAGTTCAGACTTGCTCCCAAAGAGGTACTTGAGCACTCTAACACATCCCTTTAAAAGGGACTACGCTTTCCGACCTACGCAGTGATTTACCTAGCAGTGCCTTCTTTCAACCAGCCTCTGGCCCGATGATCAGAGAAATCAATCGAACTTTGTAAACTAAGATCCAGAAAGGGCCCTTGGTAATCACCGCTAAGTGCTGAGTTAATGGAAGGATGTGTGGGTGGGTCACGAACCGGGCCACTTCAGATAACATTATCTGGGAAGCTGTAAGGCGAGGGAGAGGACCTAGTACATCAGCCTTGGCAGGACACGACCAGTAAAACAACCCTGTGGACCTTGGGGTCACCACACGGCGGGGCCGCAGGACGACCTCGCGGCTCCTGGACACCTCTGCGGCGTAGCCACCGCCGCCTCCCTCGCTTCTTACTCTTCGCGCCCGGGGGCCGGGGCCAAGCGCCCCAGCTCTGCGCTCAGCAGGGCTCCCGGGCCCAGACAGCCGTCACCGAGGCAAAGTCTCGCCGGCAAACGCGGCTCAGTCCCCCGGCTCCCGCTCCGCCTTTCTTCCCTTTCGGGCGCCCTCCCGTCAGTGGCCCCGGAGGGTGCGAACTCACGGCCACTACGGCGCCGGTGAAAATGTCCTCCCCCTCCGTGTCGCTGTCCCCCGCCTCGGGCTCTGACCCCCCGGTCGCCCTCTCGGACTCCGGCTCCAGGCCGGGGAAGGGCGGAGGGAGTCTTTCAGAAGCGCTACAGCCGCCACCGCCCGACGCCATCTTCCTCCACCCGCGGCGGAAGCCGCAACAACAACTTTATAGAGACAGCGCCGCGAGCACGGCGTCCGGGCTGGGGGGGCCGCAATGCCCATGGGAGTCGCGGGGCGGAGGCGCTGGAGGCGGGGCGGAGGCGCTGGAGGCGGGGCGGAGGCGCTGGATTTACTACTCTTTCCACCTGCTTACATTCAGAATTGAAATGTAGTTGTGATGCATAATGGCTGTGGTATTCAACTCATTCTCAGCAGATAAGGCACTAAAAAAAAATAGCCAAGTTTCAGGGAAGAGAGGACTATAAGG